TCAGGAGTAAGGACAAAGTACAAATTACAGTACAGCAGTATAGCTGCAGATAAACAGCCAGTAAACCGTAAGTATAGCTGTAACAGTAACGTAAACAGTATCCAGTAATAGATATCAAGTAATTAAAGGAAAGTAAAGAAGAAGAGCAGCTTAACAGGTAACGTGCAGGGCAGTATTCTCACGTTTGATGTGTTTAAGAAGTAGAAGCCCTAAGGGTAGAGACTGTAGGGCCGGTTTGTATTTTGATTCTACAGTATCTCCTCCCAGATTCATGCAGAGAAAGCCAGTCTGTGTTCTGCTTTGCATCTCTCAGTGCTCATGCCCTCTTTCAACAGCAGGAGGCGCACCTGTGGTCTTGTTCTTGTTTCATGCTCAGAGAATCCGAAATGACCTTCCTGTCTGTCTGATTCAACATCTCCATACCAGACTGCGATGCCACTAGTGATGTCTGAGTCCTATTGCTGTTCTCTCGAGTCTTTAGCGTTGCCAATGTTTGCTGTAGTATCACTTATCCGCGCATCAGATTAACCCTATCGCACCCCCCCCCCCAACCCCCTGTCCCTCAGCGATACGTAGACGGAGGCATCTCAGACAACCTGCCGCAGTATGAGCTGAAGAACACCATCACGGTGTCGCCCTTCTCCGGCGAGAGCGACATCTGTCCCCGCGACAGCTCCACCAACCTGCACGAGCTACGCTTCACCAACACCAGCATCCAGTTCACGCTAACCAACCTATACCGGGTGTCCCGCGCGCTCTTCCCGCCCGACCCGCTGGTATGTCACACGCGGGACCCGTGCAGGACGTTGTGAGGATGTGCGAGTTTGTGTGTGTCTCTGGTAACCGCTTTGCGCATGCGTTTGCTCTGGATTCATAGGTGATGAAGGCCATGTGTAAACAGGGGTATCGCGATGCCCTGCACTTCATCAAGAAGAACGGTGAGAGTTCTCAGCCCCTAAAGGCCTTCTTACATGTGTTAAAGAGCTGGAGTTAAATTACATGTTCCTTTAGATAAGCCTGCTCAGCCCTTGCATGGCTGGATGTTAAGAAGCAAGGAAAAAACTGGAATAGCTTTTTCTCTTCTAGTGCTGACACCTAGTGGCCCACGTTTAATATGGCAGGCTTACCACTGTGTGTGACACACCCGGCCCATGCGTCACTGTAATTGAATTTGCAGTGGACGCCTGCAGGTTAGATCCACCCAATGGACAGCTGCCACATTACATACTTCAGAAAGGAGGATTTTTTTTCCCTCCCCAGTGGGGTTGTTTTTCAGAATGCCTGAACTTAATCACTCTTGTCCTTCCTATTCAATAGTTATAGTTATTTTGAGTCATCCGAAGCCTGTAGAGTAGAAATGGCAGCTCCCAAAAATGATCTTTGGTGGGAGCAAGAAAATCAATAAGTTGAGAAATAAGATTTATTGGTGAGGATAGTTTGTATTAATATTATTATTAATGTGGTTAGATCTGTGCAGAGAATTGAGTCTAATTTCAGTCTGTACTGCATCTTCTCACTTCACAAGCACCAGGAGCTGTGCTCACTTGTGAGAGTTAATAATGGCTGTAGGTTTTATGAGATCATAACCACACTGCATGTGCCCAGCTTGACGTCTGTGTCCTGTGCACTGTGTGCAGTGCGTATCTCGGCTGAACCTGTGCCGGTTCCTCTTTCTGGAGCACAGGCCTGCTGCAGTTCCGTGGACCCCATCGAGCCCTCCTCAACATAGGCGATGGGGTGGAGGAGGAGGAGGAGGAGGAGGAGGAGGAAGAATATGAGGATGAGGAGGGTGATGAGGATGAGGGGGCCCGGGAGGGCGAGCAACATAAGAGGCAGCCAGCTGTGTTCAGCAACAGCGCCAGTGAAGAAGACCACATTTTTGAGCACCTTCCCCCAAGGCTACACCAAGGTGGGTGGAGGAAGAGCGTAGGCACTGCACAGAGGGGGGGGGGGGGTGGAGAAATCAGAGTACAGCACACCATATACATGCTGCTTATCTCCTCAGCTGAATGTCTTATTTAACCAAAAGTAACTTAAATATTTACATCCACGCTCATTTAATGGTCATCAAAGCATATAAAATGCAGTAAAATCATGTTTCCATTCGTAAAGAGTCAACACAAATATTAATGAAGGTAAGCAAAGACTCTTTGCTGCCCCCTGTAGCTCTAGTGGAGGCCTGCAAGGAGAGGAGGAGCCGCTTCCAGTCTCTGAGCAACCTGCTGCCCATCAGGATGGCTTCGGCCATGTTAATTCCCTACACCCTGCCGCTGGAGTCGGCCATGTCTATGACTGTCAGGTGGGTGTGAGTTTCTCACTGTAGCCCCCCTCCCCCCACCCACCCAGTTCCCACTGACTGGCCACCTGCTCCACAATCTGCCCAATCTGATGGAAGGACAGTGCTTGAGTGTGCAATACAGGCATGTGCGTGTGGTGTGTTTGTCTGTGAGCTTATAGCTTTTCTCTCTCTTTGTCTTTCTCTCAGATTGCTGGAATGGTTGCCAGATGTGCAGGAGGATGTAGGCTGGATGAGGGACCAGACAGCGAAGCTGCTGCAGTGTGTCCTGCGTCAGGCAAAGAAAAGCATGTCCCAGCAGGTGTCTGCACGGTGAGAATAGGCGCCGCAGTCGAGGGGCTGTCTAGCTGTGCTGCATTATAAGAGGCCAGCAGGCCAATCACCATGATTCGCAAAGTTACTGTCCCAAGCCGACCTTTTCTTCTCCCATAAGCCCCCAGAGCTGGAAACGAGCTGCGACTCCAGTGGCAGACTCCCCTGTCCTGTGTTAATCCCTCCTCTCTCTCTCTCTGTCTCAGGCTCCCCTGTCCTGTGTTAATCCCTCCTCTCTCTCTCTCTGTCTCAGGCTCCCCTGTCCTGTGTTAATCCCTCCTCTCTCTCTCTCTGTGTCAGGCTCCCCTATCCTGTGTTAATCCCTCCTCTCTCTCTCTCTGTCTCAGGCTCTTCTGCTCCAGGTTAATCCCTCTCCCTGTTTTTCTTTTATCCTCAGACTTTCCTACCATATGCAGCTGCGTCGTTCTCAGTCCTTGCCTGCCTCTCCCAGCGGTGTACTTCCGCGCTGGATGAGTGGGGGCAGCTCCACAGTACTGGACCTCTTTCTGCGTTTGGACCAGTACCAGCGTCAGCTGCTGCCGGGCCTCTTCTGCGTCAACATGGATGTTCAGGCCTCCATGTACTCCCAGGCCTGGGGGGGCAGGGACAGGGCGTCTCTGCCAGATCTGCCAGAGGAAGGGCTGGTGATGCGTCCTATGAGCCCCACCCCGCCCACGCCACCCCCATCCCCGTCTCTGCAGCACAAAGAAGGCACCGTCCAGCCCTAGGGCATACCATGGCCTATGATGCCAGACACCAGTCTGTGCCCATGTGACTGAACAAGTCTTCAGAACAATCCTACCTTACAAACGGCCTTGGCCTGCACTGAAGGAATGACATTTACCCATGCTGGGGCTTTTAAAATCTAATCCTCATTGTGACCTTTGACCCTTCTGCTCATTTGAGCTTTTTAAGCCATTCACGCCCCTCCTCCCACCCCAAACCGAGGAGATGGACTTAATATTTATTCTTCTGTATTCCAACAAACAACCAAAAGAACGTAAACCACCTGTAGGTGTTGGCACAGACGGGCACTGTCGTGTGCCCGCAGAATGACTGCTCTGTACTGCAGAGAAGCCGAGCCGAACGTTCCTGAGATTCAGCAGGGACTCCTCACTCAGAGGTGCCTGACAGCAGCCAAAGTGCCTGTACTGATCAAAGCCCTACAGAAGGCAATGAGAGGATATGGACACAGTGACTTGGGGGGCGGGGATCTGCATCTGTATCTGTCTTATTGGAATCCACAGCCCAGCCACTGAAACCACAGGCCACATGAACCCTATGTTGGGATTTAACGGTCTACGAATGCAGTGTCTTAGTATTATGTACAAAGCGCACTTTGTGTGTGTGTGTTACAGCATGATGAGTGTGACAGTATGAGGTTCACCCATCCTGTATACGAGGATCACAGAATGGATGATCAGCGTGTCAGATCACCATGAGGAGCTGTGTACACAGGCTCTAAGCAGTGTGTGTCCCCCCCCCCATGGCCATCCTCAGAACTCCTTGACGATGATAAGTACAGTACTGACTTACTGTACAGCGTCTCAATAATTAATCACAACAGTTTGGCTGTTTTAAGAACTTTGCGTCTGTCCGTGAGACCAAATGCATTTTAATGTTTTTTTTTTTTTTTATGGATGGTGCAAAAACCTCCAGCCGCTGCTTGTTCTGTTTCGCAAAATAAGAAATGAAGTCGATTTGGTTGCTAATTTCAATGTGAATTAACGGCACAGTTGCTTTTCACTTTTAAGCTTAAAGTCAGTGTAAGGGAAAGGGAGCCCCCTTGTGGCCCTTTTTAATTTTCATTGACTTTTTTAAAAGCCATTTTTTGTATGGACATGGAGCTCCTAGAAGACTGATGTTTCGTTTCTTACATATGAAAAAAATGTTTTTAATTACAATGACTCTTGTCCAGTCGGATTAGTGCTTGTGGGGTGGGGCTCCTGAGAAATCCCTCAGGTGCTCGTTTGGAGCCGCGTGACAGAGCCAGGCTTACCGTGACACAGCTGAAGAGGAAAAGCCGTCTGGACGAAGCCATTTAGCTTGTTGTTGGAGGATGCCCTGAGCAAAGCCTCAATCTGCACTGCATTCATTTTAACTGAATATTAAGTTAAAAACTTAATTGTGTTATGCTTTGTTTTTCCTCACGCCATTATTCAGAAACCGACTTGTGTTATATATCTGTAAATAAAAAATGGGTTTCTAATTATATTAATATTCATCTCTGGTAGCGTGTGGTTATTTCGGTCTGGATCATGCGTTATCTGTCCAATGAGTGTTTCGTGATTTTGCGTGGGATGCGCTTTGCGAGAGTCGGCCGTGGAGCCCCGTGCATGTGCGCGGCGCGCGCCAGGTTCCGGTGTTCAGCGCTCGCACCGCCAGGGGGCAGAGTTCACCTCGTCGGCCCGCCTCTCTCATCCTCTCCCCGGATCATGAGCTGAGTCTTCCCGGGAGAAACTTGAGGAAGATGGCGGCGGACGATCGCTCCCGGTCCGAAGCTGCGAAGCAGCGACGGCAGGACCAACTCCAGCGGTGGCTGGGATCCGAAACCGACAGAACCGGGACGGAGCTGCGGGATCGGCCGTCGACGAGCGGAGGGCGTCGGGCCCGGGTGTGCTTTGCCCAGGGTGCTGTGTTTATGGCCGCTTGCTCCGCCGGAGACCGGGAAGAAGTGTCAGAGCTGCTGAAGCAGGGAGCCGATATAAACCACGCGAATGTGGACGGACTGACGGCACTGCACCAGGTAAGTGCGGGATAAGTGGCGACCGTGTCGAGCCGGGAGTGACAGCCCGGGCGATCGTACATCTGTCGGTCAAGTAGGATCCAACAGGTCCGGGTTCATGACGAAGTGACACACGGGGGACAAATGCGAACTACCAGACTGCAAAAAGTTATATGCGGGCAGGTTAGCGGTCGGGCAGCGGGTCTCTAATCCGAATTAGACATTTACTTTGATTTATACCAGGTGAGCTGGGAGAAAAGGGACTGATTCCGCTTTTTTCGGGGAGGGCGTTTCGCCCGGAGCTCAGCTTCCAGGCTTCATAACAAAGGAAGAAACGTCTCAAAGCGGATTTGGCATCGCAGCCCAGCTCCCGATCCCATCCCCAGCCCGGTATCTGGAGGCGAGCCCTCGTAGTGACACACTTTACCCCCCTGGGTTTTCCCAGTCGGGAGTGACATGGCCAGTGACACCCAGCAGTAAATGAAGCGGGCAGATGTGGGGTAATTAAAAGTAACGATATTGAGTGACATGGAAGTGTGTGGTAGTGGGCTCGTTTGCGCCGGTTTGTGCATGCGTTATTTCCCCCCTCGAAGTGGAAGTGGCAGTCCGCAGTGGGGTCACCTCGCTCCCCCATCAGATCCTCCCCGCTCCCGTCGAAAGCCCCCCTTTTCTGCCCTCTAGTCGGCGTTTAATCACAGAGGGGGCGTAAAACTTTTTCTCTTTTTTTATAGAAGACTACTGAAGTTATGGAAAGGGTCTTTAAAGCCGAATGGTATTATAAATTATCGGTATTTTTAAAAGAGTTATAAAACTAATTAAGTGCTATATAAATGTTCTGTATTCTTAATCTTTAGCACACAATAAACATTTCTTATTAGTAAATAATATGGTAATATTGTATATCTTCAACATAGCTAGTATAATGTAATTTTAATGCTTAGGCATGTTATATGTATTTGTGTGTTGGGCATGCAGCTAGGTTTTGTATGACAGGTGTCTGTTTTTCAGTAATGGCTTCATGGCCTAATTTTCAACTTTATTTAAGTGCTTGGTAGCTGCCTGGGGTACAGTTCTGCAAACAAACAGGCCTCAGAGCACATCATTTGCACAAAGAGCACTTCCTCTCTCACTCCGTCTCCTGAGATCTACCAGAAATAACCCTCAGTTTGACCTTAACCCTAAATCTCAACAGGGAGGACCGTGTGTGTGTGTGTGTGTCCATTTCTGGGGTCGTATTCTGTCTTTTTTTTTTCTCCCCCTCTTTCTTCGTCTCTTACTCTCACTCCTGTTGTGAGCCTGTTGCCAGGCAACCCAAATTAAATATACACTCTGCAAATTTTCCATCCCATCCATCCAAATTGTCTCTCTGCCTTGTTCTCTCTATCCCGCTCTCCTCCGCTCCGTGGCCTGTCCCGTTCCCTCTCTTCCGTGCCCTTCGCGTGGCCCTGCTCCCGCCCACCCGGCTGCCAAACACAAGGCGGTCCGGCGGAAAAGGAGCGGAAAAAAAATATGGCCGACTGCCGAAGCCAGCGTCTGAGTCACAGGCCCCAAGGAGAACTGGTGGGCCCTGCTCGTGCTCATAATGCAGCTTTTCATGAGCTTTTCCACTCACCCGTCCGGTCCCACTCTTTCGACCCCCCAAGGCAGTGCACCGGGGGAAAGGGGGGCAGTCCTTTTGGAAACAGCCCCCTTGTTAGAGCAGAACAGTCTTCAGTGGACCATCCCTTGTGCTCTGACCTAAAGGCTGACCTAACAGAACTGAGCTTTGGTTTTAGGCTGGTGCCTCTGTGAAACACTGGGGTTATGCCTGCCTGTCTTTCTGCTTTTTTGTTTGGGTGGAAGTATGTTAGGTCTTTATTATGGCCTTCAGGGCTGTTACTAACAGCAAAGCAGGATGAGTTGATGCACTAGCTGCAACTGAGTGGTAATCAGACTCTTGCTTTTGGTGAAATGGCAGTTCAGTTCTGAGAATCAATCACTTCTCGATTCGATAAAGACTAATCCTGAACCTGTCTGATACATAGGGCGGAGTGTGTGCTCTGAGCAGTTTTTTGGGGGGTGACACGGAGTTAACACTGTCGCAAATGGCATTCCTTCAAAGGGACAGTCCCCTAATCCACCTCTGCACCTATAGAGAGGGGCTCCAGTACCTTTTCTGGGGAGGGTTTCCCTGGATGGGTGCATCACCAATTGCACTGCACACTGGGTCTGCCTTCAGCTCCACTCATTCATTACAAAATAGCTGATAGAGAACTTACAACTATTACATAGTCAGTTATAAACAACAAGCCTTGGATATATTAGTTTCAGTCTTTTTTTTGTCATATGTGTGTTAACACAGGGTCAACATTACAATGAAATGTGTTGGACGAGAGGATAAGCAGGAAACAAGTCTCTAAGCAGTGGAGGATACTATAAAATAAAATTAAGAATTAAAACATTAAAGAGTCATAAATAAGGGAACGTCTGCGCTTGTGTACTGTATGCGGGGGGTGGTGCAAGCACCAGTGTTCACTTAGAAGGCAAAAACTTTTTAGAAATATCTTTACTGGTTTGTTTTACCTATGTTTACCTGAGCAAGTCCTTTGCTAAAGCTTTCTTCATGACGGTATCAGCAGTGATAGATTCCTCTACTGGCCTGACACCTCTTTACATTCTCTGAATGTTTTTAATGTTGCATTTCTGGTCATTTAATAGTCTTATTAGGTTCATGCTCTGTTAGAAGTTGTGGTTTAGCTCCGCTTGCACTCATACTTGGGAATTCATTGGAAGCTCAGCCTAGTTGCACTTATGCCTAATTGATTCTTTAACTGCCTCTCTTGTTTGTAACTTTGGACAGAAGTCTCTGCAAAATATGGAAAATGTAAATTAAGACATTAGCTAGAGCAAAAAGCAGGAAACGCACCTGCTGCAAAAGGATCTGGTTTGGCCTTCACAGGATAGCGGTAATTCTGCTGGTTCCCAGTTCCCATCCCCAGCTTGGTTCCCCAGTACGATCTGCTTCTCCTACTTCTCTGTTCATGTTAAAGCACTCCATAATACCTCTCCTTGCTGAACATCTGATCGAAGATCTCCGTACTGTCTTCTCCAAGGCCTCAGCTTAATTAGGGTTTATGATTGTGTGTCGCTCTTTCTGCCCCCCGCAGGCCTGCATTGATGATAATATAGATATGGTGCAGTTCCTGGTGGAGAACGGGAGTGAGGTCAATCGAGGGGACAATGAGGGCTGGACCCCCCTCCATGCCGCCGCCTCCTGCGGATTCATCCCGATCGCTAAGTAGGTGTCACTCTGCTATGCGTGTGAGCGCCTTTGCACTCAGTTTGTGTGTATTTTCTGGACACCCTTGTGTGTTTGCACTGACTGGTGGGTGTTTTATGTGTTTTCACCAGGTCCTTCTGGAAATGTGAATATTTGTGCCTGTGTTTATTCTCGAGTAGACCTGTGTGCCAGCGTTAGAAGGCTCTAGGTCGCTTTTTGACACGCATGTGGAAACTTCTCTGTGACTGCTGTTGTTGCAGGTTCTTGATTGACCACGGCGCACTGGTAGGGGCCGTGAATAGTGAGGGAGAGCTACCTCTGGATGTGGCCACAGAAGATGCAATGGAGAGACTCTTGAAAGCAGAGATAAAGAAGCAGGGTAAGAATGTCCATCAGCACCTGACCACGCCCCCCCCCCTGACCATTTTATTCTGACTGGCTGAAGTGCTAGAGGCGGGAACGTTGGCTGAGCTGGTCATTGGCCAGTTAATAACTGGGTACAACAGAGAGAGGCGGGGCAATGTGTGCACCAGGCATTTTTTGTCCCCATGAGTTTTGGAGCCACAGCCTTCAGTTATGGAGGACAGAGTCGCATTAAAAGAGATCCTTTTCTGATGTATCTGCAGCTTAAAGCAAATGCATTAGGGATGATGTAACACGCTCTTGCGGCCTGTCAGGGGTGGACATGGAGAACGCCAGGCGTGAGGAGGAGAGGGTGATGCTGCGGGACGCCATGGCGATCTCGGCTGGGCGTGGCACCTTGACCCCCCACTCCATCACGGGAGCCACTGCCCTTCATGTGGCGGCAGCCAAGGGCTACATGGAGGTCATGAAGTGAGTCGGGGGGGGGGGGGGGGGGGGG